GTGTCTCTGTAGTAAAATTAAGAAGTCGTGTGTCTCTGTAGTAAAATCCACCAGTGAAGGAGAACAAACAATAAATGGACGAGTCCCGAGGAGCAGTTTCCTCTGCAGGGTCCAGGTCTGAGATTCATGGTGATCCTGTCTCAAGCAGAAACACTGTCCCGTGTTTTTATACTCTCTCTTCATCTCTCCCTCTCTTTCTCTCTCCCCCTCCCTCTCTCTCTGTGACTCTCTTTTTATATACTCTCTCTCGCCAACTCTCCCTCTTTCTTTCTCTCCCTCCCTCTCTCTCTCTGTGTCTCTTTTATATACTCTCCCTCTCCATCTCTCCCTTTCTCCCTCTCCCCTCCCTCCCTCTCTCTCCCCCTCCCTCTCTCTATCTGTGTGTGTCTCTCTCTCCTTCTTTCTCTCTCTCCCCCCTCTCTGTCTCTCCCTCTCACTCTCCCTCTTTCCCTCTCTTGCTTTCACTCTTCCCGCTCTCTTTCACTCTCACTCTCTCCCTTCCTCTCCCTCTCTCTTTCTCTCCCTATCTCTCTCTCTCTCTCTGTCCTGCTCTCCCTCTTTCTTGCTCTCTCCTGCTCTCTTTCACTCTCACTCACACTCTCTCCCTGCATTTTTCAGTCACTCTCTCTTTCACTCTCACTCGCTCACTCTCTCTTGGTGTGTGTGTTTACATTAACTACACAGTCAGTGAGAGACACATGTCCCCCCCCCCACCCCCACCCGTGCATGTGTGTGTGTTCACATTAACTACACAGTCAGTGAGACACTCTGTTACTCACCTCATGTTTCTCTCTGACACCTCCTTACATCTAAAGAAGAAGAAGAAAAAAAAAACAGGAGTCCTGATTTATTTCATCCAGAGCTGCTCAGATTCACCCCCCAGTGATAAAATATTTTGTCCCCAGGTCAGTCGACAGGATAAGGTTCATTTTCTTCAGATCAGATCAGATGTTGAGGCTCTTTCAGGCTCCTGGATCGATGTAAAGATTCAGTTCCACGTCTTTCTTCTTTTACTTGATGCGCAGCTCGCTGCTCAAAATAACCTCCTGATCAGTTGCCCAGCAGGATCCGGCACATCATGGAGCAGTCAGCAGGCAGGGGTCAGTTTCAGGATCCAAATAAGTGACCAAGCTTTATATATCAAAATAATAACTATGAGGATAATTGTTTTACTTTTTCACTTCTCTTATTTAGAGGCCTAGCTGTCCTGATTCATGATTTTTCTGTTTTGAGGTTTAGTTTCATGTTTGTTTCCTTTAAGGTTGGTTTCTGTGTTTTTCCCCATGCTATAGTTTATTTTCTGCTCTAGCTCCGCCCACTCTCCCCTGCTCCTGGTCATCACTGAGTCCAGGTGTCTCCACTCTGCTCATCAGCCCCTGTCCATATATCCATGGGTTTTCTTTAGCTGCCTCCTCTGTGAACCACAGGAAGCTGGTCCTCATCTCTTTCACCACCTGGTCTTCCAGCTCTTCTGGGAGGATCCCAAGGTGTTCCCAGGCCAAGAGACATCTCAAGTGTGTCCTGCCATGGGTAGCCCACTTGAACATGCTTGTAACATGGACTTTAAATGTTAGATTTCACAGCTCTCTCATAAATCAAAAGTAAAAAAAAAATGATGATGAATAAAATTCTGGTGTGCATCATTAGTGCAGGTTACCAAATTTTCTACTAACCATAAAAAATAGATTTTTAAGTCCTGATCCCAACTTTGTGAACTATAGGATTTATTTATAAACCTCTACAGCCATTACAAACAGACAAACCACCGGAGCAACTGAACCAGCTTTAGACAACATCAAAGCCAAGCCACATTTATAAAATATGTTATAAACAGTTAATTAACAAATATAAGGTTATAAAATCAAACGCAGTATTTAAATGGTTTACTAAGGGTTTTAAATTGGTAGCCTAGAACTATGGGGTGCCGTTTGTAAAGTTACACAGTCAAAAATTAACAGCAATATTTTGATTTGTTTAACCTATCATAAGAAAAAAAAAACATTTTTTTCAAAGTCATTTTTTCACCATGTTATTTGTGCGTTTATAAATGTCATAGTCCCAAACTAAATATTTAATTTACAAGCTTAGTATTTACTTTACAAACTAAACTAAATACTTAACTAGCAAGTTAAATGTTTAGTTTGTAAATTAAACATTTAGCTTGGACAAAGAGATGTCTGGGCCTCCCTGCAGAAGATAATGGATGGATGGATGGATGGATGGATAAACATTTAGCCTGGACAATAACATTTAGTTTGTAAACTAAATATTTAGTGTGGAACTAAATATTTAGCGTGCTAACTAAATATTTAACTTGCAAGTTAAGTATTTAGTTTGTAAACTAAATATTTAACATGTAAATTAAATAATGAGTTTGGAACTATGACCTTTATAAATGTATGATCAGGGTGAAAATATGAATAAAAAAAAAAAAAACATTTTTTTTCTTATGAAAGGCTAAATAAACTAAAATATTGCTGTTAATTTTTGACGGTGTAACTTTACAAACGGCATCCCATATAGAACCGTTTTTGTTGATGAATTTTTTTAGACTGTGTCCAAAAAATAAATGAAAAAAGTGAAGTGGGCGGGTCTTGCCAAAAGTAGGCCGGTAAGCCTATCGAGCCCCGCCCATAACCCCGCCTCATTTTGACAACAACAGGTAAGGTTATTGCTCAATATATTGCACTCATAGTACGTGTTTGAGACAACGCTCAGCTGCTACTACTGCTACTTTAACTTAATATATGTAAAACAAACTGTTACAGATATTTTTGTGTTTGCCAAGTTTGGCTAACTGTGGCAGCCATCTTGAATAGAGTTGCATGCAAAGGTTATATCCAACTGATCTTTTTTTAAGAGTTTCATTAGAATTCGTACAGTGAGTCGTGAGATATTTTGCTAACACTAAACGGAAACGAACACACACATGCAGAAAAAAACAAAAGCATTATCGCCCTTTCTCCTTTTGTGGCATGTAGTGTGATCAGCCATATTGTGCTCAAGGTAAATCAGACTAATACTTTACAAGTCCGAATAACTAACCAGAGTAATTGTTTAACATTTTCACTTTTCATGTTTAATAAGTTGTGGAAACATTTTGGTTGAAACAAAAATGTTCGTCCAGATGCTTCTGCAGCTTCATCTTGGGAAATATCGCAGCTTTTCTCTTTAAAGTGAAACAGAGTCTGTTAATGCTTTTTGTTCTGCAGCCTGAGAGCAGGTGGTCATGTTGGCTTTAATTTTACAGGAACCAGTTGTCGGCCGCAGGTTCCAGTTTGGAAATTGGATGGCGTGAGACGTGGAATTAGCTGCTGGTTCACAGAACGAAGAGCAGAGGGGGTTCTGGCTCAGAATGAATTGGTTCAGTTAAAGACAGACGGCTGGAGGAAGTCTTTATAGGTTAATATTCCCACATCCACACATTACAGAGGGGAATAAACTGCAAATGATCAAGCCTTCACAGTTCATGGTGTCATTAAAAAAGATTTAAAGAAGTAAAACAATATAGTACTGAATTAAAAAAAAAACTATGTTACTTTTAGAAATTAAGTTGAGAAGATCACCCAGAACATAAAAACAATTGGAGAGATATTTTCTTTTTCTTGAAATTTGCCAAAGAAAAAAAAAGTATATATATATATATA